ACGCACACACTCTCACCTCCAAGCGACTCACACTCATGGATCAGCAGGTTACCTGTGGAGACTGAAAGCTTCTGCTTCCTCTTAGGGAGAAGCCGGGCAGGCTTCAGTGTGCGTGCACACATGTACGCACAAACACAAACACACTCGCCCTTTTTTTCCTCATCGCATTGCATAAAAATGTATATATATATATGTATATACACACATTTGTATGGTTGTTCCTCATGCAAACTTTACAAGATGTCACTATGTCATACATCCTCTTCTTCTAAATTGGGACTACCTGCTTTTGTGTGTGTGCTTGTGTGTCTTCCATCTATAAGTCGAGATGTTCGACATGACAACCGAAGCCCAGCTCTTACATAGGGCAACTGTTTTCCTTTCATGAAAGCATCTCTGGTCACTTGATGAATCGTAGCATTGTGCTCATTCATCCATATTTAACTAGAAAGCCACTTTGTCTCCACTTACTTTACCAGAAGGTCTGTAACTGATTAGCACTAAATGCAAAGCTGAACAGTTTGGACTATTCATTGGCCAAAGACTCACAAACTGACACGTAACAAAAAAAACAACTTAACAGTGATTTAAATCAATTAAACCCAACTTTCTCTATATGAATCATTTAATCAATGATCATGCAACAGTTCATACTTGAAAAAAATACATGCATTTCTGTATTGTGTGTTTAGCAGAAATAAGAAAAAAAGGTTCACGACGATACAGGAAATCTGCTGAAATATAAGGATCTGCCACAAAAATCCTAAAATCCCAGAATATTGGTAAATGCGTACATTTCATCTACTTAGATCTGTTTCATCTGATTCCAGTGATTCAGAAATGGATTCTCAAGTCAAAGTGTATCGTCCTTATTTGCTCTTATCCAGTTTCACTTTTTTATTTTAGCATAAGCTTTGGGAGCAGATGTCAGGAACGAGTCTCAGCAGCAGAGACAGATTTTCCTCTGAACATTTTGGAGGACTTTGAATCAGAGGAGAAGAACGTGCCAATGAGGAGGCCTGCAGATGGACAAAGTGAGGATCTGCAAAGCGGTTTTCAGGGAGGCAGTAATATGGTGCCGGATAAAAGTTTAATGTGGATTTCACCTGTAGTTTGCTTTATGCTGACACATCCCGGCAGCTGCATAGCCGGAGATAGAGTGGCCGTCCTTTTAGTCGAGGTTTAATCCCCACCTCTGCGCTGTATAAGTCAAACCGTTCTCCAATATTCAGCAGTATCTGCAAAGATTGTGTCAAATCAAATCAGCCCTCACACAAGTGCACATTTAATTTCGGTGCACTTCTTATCTGGTTTTCTTCCTCCGCAGGCAAGCGCCCCTCATTGTGGCAAAGAGCAGAGTCGAGCCCGCTGTGATGTACAGCCATACGTGCACGCACACGTGCACACGACACACAGCGACCATATGCTGTCAGCTGTAGCTCCAGTCGTCTGCATGAACGCCGGCCAGAGGTCCTCCCTCTCCGCTGACCTGTGGTCATCTGACTTCCCGGCTCAGAAACAGCCTCGCTTTGTTGTGAAATAAGGAACAAATCTTAATCTAAATGTATCATACCGATACATAGATTTCTGAGGACCTATTGCCTCTTCAAATATTAAAAATCCTGGAATATAGAGTAGTTTTTCCTTTTTTTTGCATACTAGCTTTTATAAAAAATGTGCAGAAAGTACTGATTCAATTTGATTTAAAAACACACAAACGTATATTTCGTTCAGATAAATAAAGACTTCCGTTTTTTTTTATTAGTTTTTCTTTTTTTTCTGGCTTAATAGGGATAAACATGGAAAAAGCTTTTGTGCAATAGAGCTCTAAGGCACTTTCTGGAGTGTAAAAAACCTGAAATTTAGTGGAAGATAATGATAGGGATTAAAGAAACAAAGTCAAATATCTTTAAGTGATTGATATCGATGCTGCTATCTGAGTTTGAGGCTCATTTACATGATGAGTGTGGATCCAAAGCAGAAGCAGGGACACGACAACACGATCCCGCTGCGTACTGTAACTCCCAGCATGCACCTCAAGGGGTTCAAATTATTTTTACTCTGGCAACACCTAGCAAACACACAAGACAGCAGAACACACAAACGTGTCAAACGTCACATTAATTATCTAGTGTGAGATTTTTTCTATTTTTTTTCTTTGTCAGCCGACACAGCGGGTGTAAATCCACAGTGGGAGCCGAGGAGCTTTCCCCCCCGAGAGGCCGCAGACACGGGGGGTTTCGCTGTGTTTTTACACCTCGTCCTGGCTGGTGTAAACTTTCCACCGCCTTCAATTTTCACCTCAATATGCCCCCTTTTCGCGAGTGCTCCGAGACAGTTTTTCATCAATAAGAATGGGAGAAAAAAGGCCAAATTTCTTTAATTAAACTCAGTTAATTTCAGTTTTACAGCTGAAAATAGGCCATTATCTTTCCTAAGAAAAGCACACGCATTTCCTATTATACATTTTTTATCAGCTTTAGTTTTTGTGAGATTTGAAAAGTAGCTAAATCTAAGCTGAGTCATATATCACAGAGATAAAAACAGCTATTTTGCCTTAGATGTGACTTCATATCTCATTTACTCTTTAAACAGAAAAATAGATCACTTTTGTTTACACAAAAAGCATTAAGTACTAAAATATCCATTCTTATCTATCATGAGGACTTTGGATCTATGGGATCAGAAAACTGTGTCTTCATGAGCGATGCTCTGTGTGTGTGTGGTGTTTTATGGTATCCTTTGGTTCACATTTCATCCTCATAGTGACCTAAAGTCAGGTCTAATGAGGCTAAATCTGCTCCACGAGGCCCTGTGGGTCACCCACAGTGGACCGTTTAATGCACCAGCGTGGGTTGGTTTGGGAAAGTGGAGAGCAGAAGCTGCTGTGGACCATTTTTTTTTAACATGAATCTATTCAAATAGAAGAAAAATGAAAGAAAAAGGAGGAGATGTCTCCTATGTATGAGCCGTGCTGATATAATAAACCCCCGCTGATTGAGTTACTCTGCATTACTGCTTCCTATCCACCCATCCTCATCCACCATCACCAATACGTACATGCAGTTTGATGTCCTTCTCTTTTCTAAACAGATTTGGTCTGTAATTCTCTGTTTCGGACTCCCTCTCTTCTGTAGCTGTGGAGGGAGAGGATAGCAGAAATGTGAACTGAATCTGAAAAAACTGAATCTTTTTGGGAATAGCTGAAAAAGGGCGCGTTTGCCTTTCTGTAAAAAGTCCCTCCTGTTGGGTTTTGTGGTCAAAAGGGGCATTTTCAACCAGTAAATATCAGCAGAACGCAGCTTTACCTTTACAGGACGTCCACTTGATCCAGACATGCTTTTTTTTTTTTTTGTCATATCTCTTCGGTCGCATCAAAAAGCCAAACACAAATCTTGATTGTCAGGTCATCGCCATGCCGACCGTCCTAACGATGTCACGTCTGTCTTCCTCTCTTTTTTTAGCTACGATGAATGTGTCGGCCCAGGTTCCGCTCAGATCTACATCCCCACGGATGACCCCCCTCCTTACTCCCTGCTGGACCCCTGTCGGGGCCGGTCGGGGCCGGATGACCGGCCCTCGGACGCCCCCTCGGACTCGGCCGGCGCCGCCTGGCCCTCCCCCTCCCTCTCCCCCTCGCACCAGCCCGTGGCGTCCATCTCCTTCCCGCTGGAGGCGGCGCCCCCTTACGAGTCGGTTCTGGCCGAGCAGGGCCCCCGCCTCCTGCCCCTGGTGCCCTTTGACCTTTCCAAACACCAGTCGGACGGCAACTCCCAACAGCTCCCGGCTGACCACATCTCCTAGGACGGTCGTCCCCGGCTAAATGACACAAACAATGAGACGTCAGGGGGGAAAATGGCCGTCAGACAGCGGACGTTCACGAGAACGTGCACGCGGCCGAAGACGCCGGACACGGGCCGGAGCCCCCCGAAACCGCTACGTCTCCGGACCGGACCCACGAAAAAAGGCCCCTCATCCCCGCGATGCTGCCTCATCTGTTTAAACCCGAGTTTTCCATGTCGCCGTTTCTCCGAAAAATCTAAGACGTGTTTATGATGTGCAGAGTTTAGGGGGTAAAACATTTAGAGTTTTTAACTGTACAGTTTAAATGAGCATACACCTTTTTTTTTTTCCTTCTTTTTTTTTGGTCTAATTTGCTGTCCTGAATCTAAACACACCACGTAAGGCATAGAAATTAGTTGAGGTGCGTTCACTAGCTTCCAGTTTGGTGGATTTTTCCAACTTATTAGAGGAAAAACTAGCTAGATTGTTGAGGCTATTATGACCAAATGAAGCGAAATTGTCGAGTCACCGTTCGCTCCAGATGTTTGTCCGACCTTTTTAGCATCATGTTGTTCTGAAAATGTGTTTGTTTGATTTTATTTTGTATTGCTCGCATCCGTCTTCATAGGGGAGGGCCTCAACTTGTAACTCTTCCTATAAAAAAGGGCTCTAGTTCTGATATCAGTGCTGAAACTAGACACCAGCAGCCAAATGTAGCTCGGAGCTTTCCTCCTCACGAGGATCGGTGGATGCAACGGAGACCTTAACACATAAAACTGTAGACGTCGACACAAATGGGTGCCTCCCCCCCCCCTTCAAATCCTTCCCAAATCCCCCTCCCCTCCGTGATGGAATTTGGTCTTTGTGGCATTTTTCCTTGATGTACAAGCCTGAGAAAAAAAGGGCGTTTGCATGTTTGGTAACTGAAACATTACAGTGCAGAGGAACCAAAAACCCAAAAAATAACACAAAAAATACGGGGAGGATAAATCCCCGTCGTTTCTGCTTTCGGTCCAAACCGAAAGATTTTGCAGTTAAATTCACGGCGCCTTTGAAAGGTTTTTAGCACACCTTTAACCAGGAGAAGTGGCAGGCCAGCGCTCCAAAGCAGAATCCAGATTTTGAGGTTCGATGATGATGATGATGATGATGAAGAGGACGATGCTGGTTCTGACTTTTGGAACAGGCCGTCTCATATCAAAGCAAACCTTTTTCCCAAACAGACTTAAACTTCATGTGAAAATTTGATATGCATGTGTTTGTATTTGACCAAATATTTCTTGCATGGCACAAAAAGAATATATAGAGAGAAAAACATGCTGAAAGGGACATTTAGGTGGAGAAAAACAACAGGTTTGATGGTTCAGACTCGGACAGAACGGGATTAAAACCAGGCAGAGGGGTCTTCACAATGTTCAGGCCTCAAAGCAACATTCTCACACAATCCAAAGCAGAGACACTGTGTGTGGGGTGGGAACGCGGAGAGGAAAAACCTCTGGTTGTCCTGGAGACACTAAGACCTGTAGACATCATCTATCTCCAGTTATTGAAGCGGGAAGTCATTCAAGACCCAGCTTCAGTAACAGAGTCATTTAGAATTTTGTGATTTTAGAATCATTCGTCCGGATTGTCGTATCTTCATTTGGACTTTGTTTTTGATTGTGAGACACCGTTTAATGTTTGAAGACGTGCCTAGAATCCCCCCCCCTGACTGTTAGCTTGAACGTTGTAGCCATAATTATGAAATAGGAAACTTACCCAGCGCTTCTTGCTGATAAATGTCTGGTGGTTACACATTGATGTACTGATGTAGTTTGGGAGAATGCCTAATTAACTAGATCATCATTTGGAGCTCAAATTACGACATTTCTACAGAGGAAATATGTCTGGACACAAATCTAACTGCTTCTCAGCACTTTGTCTGTCACATTCAAATATATACATATACATATGTGTGTATACGTGTGTGTGTGTGTGTGTGTATACAAAGAAAGCTTAACACTCGCCCAGTAACACAAACTGTATCTCACCTGCTTTGTTTTGCAACCGCTTTTCCACCTGAACATTAACTATACTCAACACAGGACTCTTTAGCCGGCCATCGTACCATATTAACTTTTTCATGGTGTGTGTATAAAACACACGAGATGTAACATTTGTTTGACACACAAAGACGTTCGCCCTTTTAGAGCTTCAGCTAGCTTTCATCTCACCCACCAGATGGTGTTGCAGAGCTGTAATACGGTCATCTTTTTCCCTCACTTGTTCCCAAAATAATTTTAGAAAAACGGTTTGATCCTTGACACTGAATTAGATAGAAAGATAACCACGACACCAACTCGCTGTGCTCGTATTAATTAAAACGTGTCAATGCTTTATTAGAATAGAGCCAAATCTAAATGTTAAAGGTTGTCAGTATTTGTTCTTGTTAAACAACGAGAACGTGGGACTCCCGTCTTCGTCAAACCAGAACACGTCTTTCTGACTCCTCACCTGTTTGTGAAGCGTTACTTTTTTTGCCACTGAGCACTGATCGTAGGTGCGTCCCGTGTAAGTAAATGCTATGTAGATGTGTTCTACGCCCTCATTCATCTCCTCGATATATCAAAGTTTCATTATGTTGTGTTGAAGCTTTTCTTCTGTAGAGAAAAGTGAATAAATCTAAACTCTTATTAAATCTGAGTGGCTGATTTTGGGGACAGACGCACACATCTAAGTCTGTGGGGAAGTTAAAAATGACTAAATGGTGTCTATATTTTCATCCAACACAAATATTTGTTTTGTTTTTTATAAATATGCTTAAGGGCAATTCTTTAAAAAAATAATCCTGATTTATTATAAGATGTGCTTTTTATCCATCCATCCATCCATTATCAATACCGCTTATTCCCTGCTTTTTATCCATTGTAGCCAAATGAACTTAAAAAGACTCAAATGTAAAAACAATTAGCCGTTGCTCAAGTATTTA